GATTTCTACTAGCCTCGGGCGAGCGGGCGAGCGTTAGTTTCAAGCCCTGGTATGTGCACACGCACGCACACACATGTACGTGCACACGCGCGCACACACGCACGCACGTGCACACTCACGCACACACGTGCCCACGCACATGTACATGCACACGCACGCAGGCACGTGTACGTGCACACGAACGTACGCACACACGCACGCACGTACATGTACGTGCATAAGCACGCACGCACGTGTACATGCACACGCACATGTACGTGCACACGCACGCACGCCCGCACACACCTGTACGTGTCTATGCACGCACGCACACACACGTGTACGTATCTATGCATGCACGCACACACGTGTACGTGCCCACGCACGCACGTGTACATGCACACGCACACACGTGTACGTGCCTGTGCACGCACGCCAAGGGGTTAGATGTCGGCAGCACTTACCTCACCGACAAGGCCTGCCAGAGGTTCATTACGGCGATAGCCGATACAAGGCGCCGGAAACAGTTTGTAGCTATAAATAAGGCCAAATTCCTTGCTGTGATAAGTGACGGATCCACAGATTCCTCATCAAGGAAGGCCGAAATTTTATTTTTGAATTAAAGTTTTATTTAATTTAAATTTTAATCTTATGATCCATATCAAAGTTACATGTATTTTATACAATTGAATGCCTTTTACAAAACCTTTCTGGGGGACACCCCTTGTACCCTGGAAGAGACCCCCTGTACCCCCTAGCAGAAGGGGGGCTCCACCCTCCTACCCCACCTACCTCCTGGCAAATCACAATGCTCGTCGCTCTGCGCCTAGTAAGAGTCCTTCGGCAGGCCTAGTACTAGTAGTAGTAGAATCTTGGAAGGACTAGTCTACATTTTTTCTTTTACTATTCCTGTGGGCTAATGAACTAAAATAGTTAGTGTCTAACCATGAAAATTGTCTGGGGGAGACCCCCCAGACCCCCCTTCACACTTCCTATCTCCGGCACTAGAGGCCGTGCGCCTGCGGCATGCTACATGAACAGCGCATGCGCAACAACTGCTCGGACGAGTAGCGCATACGAACAGGTGTCCGATGCTCGGACGAATATCCACGTCGATGTTCGACAGCCCTGCGGCAGTTAATGAACGCGGGCTATAGTACTACTACTAGTACTACTACTAGAGCTAGACCATGATGCAATCAAAACAGCTAAAATGTTAGCTGCCTAGCCAGGCAATTACAGAACTGACTATTTCGCATTGTGTTGATATTCGCCGATAGGAAACCATAGGCAATTTCATGATGTGTTGTAATTTGTGAGCAACAGCTCACAAATAACTATAAGCATAAGTATAAGTTATATCCGCGTGCAAAGCATGTTGTAACTTGTACTTGTAGTGATGTACACAATTCGGTCAAGTGAATACGACGAACATATTTCGAAAATGTTAACCGAGATAACTACGCCTTCCAGTAATAGCAAGCGTCGATTATATATTTATGAGCAGGTTTAGCTGCATTTCTATCTACATAAAGGTAACCCTAACCTACGCGTAACAAATACTTTACACATTTTGTTCCACGAACTTACAAATCTGAATGCAACGTAAAATGGCTGTTTAGAAAGAGAACAAGTGGCGACCTCGATCGAGCGAATATTGTAAGTAAAATATTTCTAGACTGCGTTCTTCTGGTGTGCCCATGTTATAGCGCAAATGAACTCTACAGTGTTCAGATTTTTCACTTTTATTCGTTATAATATTCACTTTAATTCGTTATAAAAAAATACTTCTACATATTAAGGATTTTAGTTACAAAACACAAAATATTACTACCTCCGGCGGGACTCGAACCCGCAGCCTCCGAATATCATCTTCACCATTAGAAGTCCGACGCGCTATCCATTGCGCCACGAAGGCAGAGATGAACAGAACGCTTCTATTTTAGCTTTTACATAAACATTAGCATATACACTGAAACAATTTTCCATTTTTCTATTCAGTTATATCATAGTCATAACACATTGCGTAGCATGTCATATCTGATCCTCCAAAAGATGTTTAAAATTTCAAGGAACTGGAATCCATTTCCAGGTCTCAGGATGAGCTTTCAAAAATCTCAAAGAATTTAATTCTCTTAATTCTTAATTAAGAGAAGCTTACTAGGAGAGAACTTACTAGCACAGTAGCAGTAGGAGGACTGCATGTTGTAAATAGTTACATAACTGAGTTCTTCTATTTTATTGATATGTTCGAAGATTCCCGACAAACCCGTGGCTTTTTTTAAAAGAATCGTGTTTTTCATCATAATAAAATTTCAAATTTTTTTTAAAGCAAGAAAAATTACATGATCAAATATCTTCTTTAAAAACCATGTATATTTCCCGGCATTTATAAGGCGGGTTAAGATAAGGTTCCTCACAGTTTTCCCCCAAAATCAGCAAGCTTAATTCGTACTATCGGTCAATAAATGTTCTCAACAAACAAGGAAATGACTTTGAAAAAATCCATATTTTAACACTTTCAGCGCACGCAAATTTTCGTAATAAAACTCCATTTTTCTCCTCGATTACAAAAGCGCAAATATACGTAAATGCGCTTGCGTGCGTGCGTGTTTAAACTTCAGTGTACATAATGACCGATATGACCTGAATTAACGGTCCGTGTTCTATCTACAATGCGTGTCATATATCAGTCAATGCGGTAGAATATAATGTCGCGTGTGTGACACGTTAATCCAGCGGTGATGGCCTGACATCATGGTTGATTAATTGTTACGGGTCGTGCCAGGTTTGCCTAGTAGGTGCATGCGACCTTTGCACCGCTGCATCACTGAACGAGTTCGTATAACCTTGGAGGTGTAACGTAGGTACGAGCACAGCTACGCTTATACGGACAACGTATACGATCAGAGTGCAGGAGCAAAGTTCGCACCGGCGCGGCAGTCAACCGCCTCAAACAGCGACGCACATTTTACGTAGACGTCCGCAAGCAATTATAACACTAGTGTCATTACCGCGTGACGAGATGAGGTATATGGAAAAAAAATTCATGAAAATGTTGATGACAATCGATGAATGCGACGCTTTTATATGGAGGAAGGGGTAATGATGGTGCAGTGCTTTGTTTGGGAGTGTACAGTCATGTTTTTGGGGTATATGTTACGTGGAACATTTTAAAAGAGTTCGTGGGCGGAGTGATTAGGTTAAAAAACTCATCGAATCATACCCGAAGTGCGTCATCGTGATTCAGTGAATATCTCGACGATCAACTGTCGGATTTATACCTTCACGACGTCGATGAGTGCGCACGTATGAAGCCAAAGCAAACAACAACAACACCGCCCACTATCACGAGAGTGCAGATGTTCTGATATGCAAAACAAAACACACTTCAATGTGCGACCGAACATTTTAATGTCAATAAAAAAAAAACCCGCGTGCGCATATTACCAAAGACAGTCGATTACGCAATCTATCTGCTGCTTTTCGTCGTGATTCCTAGCAATTAAAAGATGCGTACACGCGAGATATGTGGAGCATTACGTCACGTGACCGTCCGCAACCGTGTCTTGCATGGTGTACATATCTTACTCAAGATTCCACGCATATCATCCAGACACGTGCACTAAGGACAGAGACCTTCAATAAAAATTTCACTCTAATCCACGTAACAACAGCGAGTGCATCCGCAGCTCCGAACCCCACCTAATCTTATTGCGTCACGATTATTATTTTATCGCGATGTTTAACTGCTAAGAGTACAGGCGCACCACCGAGCGCGTGTATGTGTGTTGTGTGGGTGCGTGTGTGCATGTGTGTGTGGGGGGGGGAGTTGTGTGTGTGCGTGGTGCGTGTGCGTGTGTGCGTGTGTACGTGCGTGCGTATGTGTGCGCGTGTGGAACACTGATATGCGGTAATCACTGTAGTGCACGTGCACCGACGACCGCCCCGTAGATGGGGTACCACGTTGTTAGTTCCACGAGGGGATCTCTACGAGTGACAAGATGGCGGCCGTCTACGGCAAGGTGCGCTCACCGTGCGTGTCGTTCAGCGTTGACTAGCTGCATCGTTAGATCGGACAGGTGCGAGGAGGATGAAAGGTGAGAGAACGTGCGAGCGGGAACACGGTAGAAACAGGTATTCGAATTAAACACCGACGCCGCGATAGAAAATATTCTCACTCTCTCTCTAACTATATCGTATATTAACGAAAAGACGCGCGCGGCTGCATAAGAAGCAAATTTTCCGCCCCGTACAATACACAAGAGCAGGTGATCCTTACCGGCAGCAGAAGACGCAATACAAGGAAAGAGCGAAGAAAGATACAAGGAAAGAGCGAAGAAAGATACAAGGAAAGAGCGAAGAAAGATACAAGGAAAGAGCGAAGAAAGATACAAGGAAAGAGCCAAGTCTACGCAACCAGTCGTTGTTTTACTTCCGAGGAAGCAACTATACTAGACGCATCGTCGAGTACGGCGTGATATATAAAACTTTCGCAATGGGCGAACCAGAAAAGGAGACCTGCATGCGAAAGATCACGAAGACTATAGTCAATGGACTGGAGAGCTTCTTTTACAAGTAAGTGCAAAATGGAATCCGATCTGAAATCATCACGAAATCTATTTTTGATCTAAGCTTCGATATATATATATATATATATATATATATATATATATATTGATGTAGATTATTCGCGATTTCTGAGTAGATTCAATTAAAGATTCAAATAATATACACGTTTAGTTATCTATTTACTTTCACGCGCATATCAACGAATGAAACGCATCTCTACATCGCAAAACAATCTCACCTCCCAGTTCAGCTGCCACTAATTTTAAGCTACTAATTAAACTAAATCAAATTTGCCACTAATTAAAAGCTACTGTTACTTATGACACAACGCACAGACTCTCTCGTCGTCAAACAGAACCCAGCAGGCGCGTTTTACCTGCGTTAACTAACGGGTCGTAAAACCACGAGGCATGCGCGGTATAGCGGCATGCAGTGCCCGCTAGCGAGTTTCTAAACCGTAGGATGGCGACTGAAGATTGATAAATTATTCATGACATCACACATGGTTCGCGTTTCTGCGTTTCTGATTTGTGCGAAGTAATAATTCACTTCACGAGCCCAAAACCATATCCCTAACCCTAACCTTAACCCTAACACTAACTCTAAACCGACTCGGCTATCTTATATATACGCGTGTCATAGTACCAAATTAATCTATGGTGTGGGAAAGCGACGCATACCACGCTGCGCGACTGCTCGGACGAATAGCGCATACGAACAGGTGTCCGATGCTCGGACGAATATCCAAGACATTCAACTCAATTCAGCATGAGAATGTTGCGTTATGTTGGTCTTACATGAAATATAGTGAAATGTAATGTAAAGCAGCGACCGGCAACGAATCAGAAACGCGAACCATGTGTGATGTCATGAATAATTTATCAATCTTCAGTCGCCATCCTACGGTTTAAAAACTCGCTGCCCGCGATGATATAGCGCGCTATATCGTATTGTGGAAGCAAGCGCGCGTCGATCGCTCTACACCTACCCACAGCACTGGTGACTCTCTCATGCTGCTGGTGGTGGGGTGCGGTAGCAGCAGCAGCTAGCTGGCTACATAAGGTTAAGAGCCTCGTTCATTGCCGGGCGTAATTGCATCACGCTACAAACACGTAATGACCGGCTGCGGAATCGGGCCGCCAAAAAGATGCCGGACGATGCTCGTTTTCCACGTGACCGCGCGGACGCCCGGAAAACGCGAAAGCAGTGAGAGTTTTCACCTGAATGAGCGCCCGCGGCGATAATACGGCGATATACAACAATTTTAATGGCGCGGGGATATTATACATAAGTATATATATATGTGCGCGCAGTGATGATGACAATAGCGCGGTGCCGGTGATTCTGCTGCTGCTGTATGTATATGAAACTGTCGTGATTGTTGCCATTATGTTACACACGCGGTAATAAAATGAAACGAGGAAATAACTGGATTTACACATCGGGACACACGTCGGGATTTCCACACAGCCGCGATATACCGTGGTTTTTGTTTTTGGTTGGATCATAATTAAGAATCGCACGAGTGCGCCGTTTTATCTAAATCGAGAGTTTAATTGTTGTCGCTGTTGGCGGATCCAGTAATTCAACAGGTAGGTCTGTGCTGAAGGTCACTGAACAGTGAAAGCTCGCATACCATTCACGCACAAACCTATTTTCGTTTATCACCGTTCGCAATGATGATACTGACGAAATTAGCTTGTATAATACGTTTTATCGTATCATATCGAATCAGCGGTCGATCAACTCGCTCACAAAAAACGGACCATGTCAATATTGAAGTCTCGCATCTGCTGGCGTTCGTTTTGTTTCGGGTTTTATATAATCTTCTCTTGTCAACTTGTTTTCCCGTCGATGTCACACCGGATAAGATTTTAAGATTAAGATTTGTAATCGCGTTTATAATTTTTTTCCCGCGTGCTGGCATTGCTCGTTTAAGCTCGTGATGCGAGTATATATACCGCTGTAGATAGATTACCTATAGCTAGTACCGCTGTACTCGCGCGTTCGAAGTTCTCCGCACTATACAGCCGTTCCTAAATTATATGAACCGGATGCACATAACCAAGATCTCATAATACCTAGGTGTTATTATCTCTTAATGCAATCCTACATATTAAAAAGGTGTGCTGTTCACCCCCCCCCCCACACACACACACTGACGCAGACACACGGGCAAATACACACACGCACGCACATGCACACACACTCACACGCACACACATACACACACACACACACACACACACACACACACACACACACACACACACACACACACACACACACACACACACACACACACACACACACACACACACACACACACACACACACACACACACACACACACACACAAATACAGAGATAGAGAGAGAGACGCATACACGCACTCACGCACGCACGCACGCACGCACGGTTTACGTGTTTCCACGGCCCGTAAACTGTCGAGGGTTCTTTCACTATAGTTTATCGGTTATCGTCCTTGCATCGCATGAGCGGCAGCATCACGCAGGTGTGACTCCGAAAACGATCACTACTAGATTAGAAGCGAGAGAAATTTTGCCCGACGAAATTGTATATGGCGACGCAGGATGTTTTCGCTTTTGATTTTGATGGAATTTTTGTGCGTAAAATGCGCCCGCGTAATGCATGTACGTCAGGTATATGGCCTCGTGTGTGTCGAACAGATTACGAGGTGACAAAGGCGCGTTTATGTTATTTTCATGACGGGGAACACCCGGATGAAAAGATATGAGATAACAAACCGCGGGCACAGTATATCACTGGCTAAAATACAACGGCTATACTTGTATGGACAGTGTATGACAGTGCATAACAGTGTTGTAAGGACATGGAGATCCCCATGGATATCAAGAAGTACTTATTTTCCTGTTAATTGGACTACGTAACTATTATTTCGAGCATAAATAAGGATTAATTGCTACGTTAGATGCCCGCTCAGAGCATCACATAAAAGTAGAATAGGTATATAGCTCTATTTCTACGTAGCCACAGGCACACCCAGCGCTACACAGGGAAAGCTACGTGGACTGTGTATCATTCTGGATATAAACCGTAGATGATGATGAGAGTTCATTGCATGGTGCGGGTCCAGAGATCGGTTCCCCCGTGCGGAACATGAACAATGTTCTTTTAGACAACTCGCCGTTGTGCAGTCTTTTCGGTCTCACATAAGGAGAGTAGCTAATCGATTTATGATTCAGTGTCCCGTCTTCAAGGTGTGAGTGGCACTTCTTCTTTTTCACATGCGGATTCCATGTCAAGGATTTGCGATAGCGATTTCGTTATGGGCTTTATTACAGTGTGGACAAATTATCTCCCACTTTCTCTTTCTTCTCGAGATCGTGACTTGCATTATCGTCATAACTCAAGCGTTGTAATAAACTTTTTTTCACGTCACGGCAGGGATGGTCAATTGTTGATGTAATGAGACGTTTACGTTTCACTGAGATTCTATAAGACTTTGCTAACTGATCGAGAAAGGGTCATGGGCAGCCGTTTGGTAATGTGAGTCGGATGACGCAGCATATATCTTTCCATTTTGTTTAATCTAAAAGATGTACTCGGCACAACATTTTCTCACCATTAGCAGCACCATCACCACGCAATTTTTATTACAACCTTAAGTAATCAAATGTCATACCGATGAACACATTTAAAGTAACGACACCAGCTAAATCCTTGTAAGGAGTGTAGAAAGTAACGACACCAGCTAAATCCTTGTAAGGAGTGTAGAAAGAAATACATGTACAATTAAGCATTTTCGAAACGAGTTTCAATGCTGGCGTACAAGGACAAATCGAGAAATTGGCCGGCGTTTCTTGAATAGCGCGTAGTTTACACAGATCGTCACTGAATATACACAGGAAACGCGGCTACAAAGAAGAACTTGCGAATAAATGAATATATATATATATATATATATATATATATATATAT